AAACAAACCTGTGTGTGTGTGTGTGTGTGTGTGTGTGTGTGTGTGTGTGTGTGTGTGTGTGTGTGTGTGTGTGTGTGTGTGTGTGTGTAGAAGGGATTGTGAGTATTTTGGTACTGGAAAAAAAACCCGTTTGATTCATGTTAGACTTTTTTTTTTTCTCCAACAGGCTCCTCGAGTAGAATTGGAAACATGGGTGGTGCAGCAGGAGTCAGATCCTCCACCGGGGGGGTTTCCAGACCAGCCCTCCTTGCTAGAGAGTGATGTCACAGAAGCAAATGGAAGTGAGCCACCTGTGGAAAATCAGGCTGGACTGAGCAACCCAGAGAAAGCTGAGGATGAAGAGGTGCTGCAAGTTCACTTACTAGTCTCATAAACAGAACATACTGACGTATTTAAGTCAGAGAATTCAGTAAAAGTACAAAGGTTGGCTGATTAAAAAAAATTTGTTTTATCAGCTGTTACTTTTGGCCTTTGAGAACTAGAGTGTAGACAAATGTACATCAACTGATTCGATGACCACCAATCATTTTATATGAAACAAAGATTTTATCAAAGTACAGAGTAAAGAAGGATTAATCTCTAACAATAACATGGATTGCAACTCCCAACAGACATCTTTTGTTTTTACAAAATCTAGTAGTAATTTGGGACTTTCTTTTGCGAGGAATTTCTTGAGGGGATAACAGCGTTGCATGTGAAGGTTTGAAACAACTATCTTGTGTAATCAAAGCATATGTTGACGACACCCAACCATTATCGCACAAATCTCATCTCAGTATCTCTAAAATGACAATGAATCCATCCATCCATTATCTTTACCCGTTTATTTAATTTTGGGTCACGGGGGTCGCTGGTGCCCATGTCCAGCAATCACTGTGCAAGGGGCGGGGTACACCCTGGACGGGTCGCAAGTCCATCACAGGGCCACATAGAGACAAACGAGACAAACAAACATTCACTCTCTCACTCACACCTAGGGACAATTTAGAGTTACCAATCAGCCTAACATGCATGTTTTTGGTCTGTGGGAGGAAACCGGAGTACCCGGAGAAAACCCACGCTTGCACGGAGAGAACATGCAAACTCCACCCAGAAAGGCCCCTGGACTGGGGTTTGAACCAAGGACCTGCTCGCTGAGAGGCAACAGCTCTACCAGTTGCGCCACCGTGCTGCCCTGACAATGAATCATTTTTGTTTTTGCTCAGGTGGTCATTTTGAATTAGGCTGACTTCAAAGTCTATCAGCTGTGGAATGGTTACTTTCTGAGTTTCATTAAAATCCATCCAGTGATAAGTGAAATATTTTGTTTAGAGACGAACACTCAAATACACCTACACACAACAACAACAAATTTGTCCACATTCGCCTTACTCCTTTTAAAGCCTGAAACAAACTATTTAAAGTCTTTTACAACTCTCAAGGTCACCTCACAGAGATAAAAAATAAAAATCAAAAAACAGTAAATACAATAAAAATAATAAAATCAATTAACAGAATAAAATATTTCAAAGAAAAATTAAACAACAATAAATGGCAAACTGTTCATGGGAGATTTATGGTAATCACAAAGATTTATGGTTACGATAAATATGCTTTTCTAAAGTAATGAAGTTTAAGCTGAAATTTGAAGGTGGTAACAGAAACAGAATTTTTCAAGTTTTGGGGTAGATATTCCAAAGATAGGGGCCAAGTGGCTGAAAGCTCTTGAACCGGTTTGACTTAAACAGGTCTCTCTTGAAAATGAGTCCTGGTGACTCAATGCGACAAACCTGTATAAATAAAGGTTGAATGAACCCATGATGGTCAGGCCAGCAGGTGGAACGGTGAGTTGGGGGGGATCGTAAACATGCAGAAGTGAGTAAATACACGGAGGAGCAAGATTGTTAAAAGCTGTAAACAAAAGCCAACTATGTTCATCTGAAAGTCTCAGAGATTTCAGTATTATTTATGAGAATGTCTTTTTTATATGGTTAAATTGCCATGCAGGTGATGAACTTAGCGTTTCAAATGTTTCCGTTGTTGTTCAGTTCAGGGCCACAAAGATGGTAATTAATAAATATATATATACATATATACATATATACATACATACAAACATACACAGTGAACCCTCGTTTTTCACTGGGGTTGAGTTCCAAAAAGAACCCATGATAGGCGAAATCCGTGAAGTAGTAACCTTTATTTTTTTTTTACAATTATTACACAATGAAATACTCCATAAAACATTCAAACCAAAGAACAAAACCTTTTTACAGGCCCAAGCATTTGTTTAACAAATAAAAGTACTGTATAAACATTTTTTTTGTTACAAATAACTACTGTACTGGAGAGACTGTTTAGCCAATCAGAATGCAGAACACAATGCACGATGCAAATCTGTGAAGCAGCGAGACTGTGAAAGGTGTAGTGAGATAGGTCGTTTAGCTTCGGAGCTCCACTACACGTTATAATATCTGGACTAGTTCAAGTACCTGATATTATACTTAATTTAAACGGGTTCTCTCTTTTTCAAGCTACTTGACAGATATGTGACAGAGATACTGTGTGGGAGATGGTTTAATCAGTGACGTGAGACGTTAATTTTCTTTGACCCATCAAAATGAATGCGGTCATTTATTAACAGAATCAAAGTTTAACATCAAACATTGTACACGTGATTATTCTGATTGTACGCGATAACACAGCTTAATTAATACAACAGACATTTATGAAAATATCTGGATGATTTACTGGCAAGATAGAAGAGTTTTAAAGATGGGAAATGAGGGAGTTTAAATGGAGAGAAAAGATGTGTGAGGGAAAATGTGTTGACGAAGAACGGCACCCTCCTCTCGAACCCAGCTCAACCCACGGTACACTTCGCAGTTGAAGATCGACTTTTTACCTTTCTGAAGATATGTCAGTTCCGGCGTAAAGTTCCACTTCAAGCCACCTTTCAGCGTCTCCGTAAGGATAGCAGAGAACCGTCCGGAGTAGTGACGGTAATTCGTTCAACACCACGCTCACCTCTCGGGTGGGCTCGCATGAGCTGTGAGCCCGTCAGAGGTTCCACTCAGATGTGGAAGATTCCATAATCCCCACGAGACTCGGAAGAACTTCGGATCATGTCTGGAACTTCCTGTTCTCTCCAGCAACTTTTCTGTTCGGTTCTGCTCTCCGAACTGAACTGCTCTCTTTGGAACTAGTAAGTGTCGACATTTAAAGAGTTCTGTTTCCGGTTCATTTGGGAAGTCCTGATTGGCTGAAAGAGCCAATCAGGGGTGTGGTTTTAGTGACGTAAGAGGTCACTAGAAGTCAGAAAAACAGTTCGATGTTTTGGAACAGACAGAAAAATGTTTTTGAAACAGACAGAGAAATGTTTAGGCGAGATGGGAGGAAACAGGTGCCAGCTTCTCTATTTACGTCTGAGAGGATTTAAAAACATGACAGTTCGTTCCAACAAACTTGTTTGCGTTTGTCTCCGACTTTTGACCGACATCACAACCTGCTCATTTCAGACAGAAGATCAAGAAAATGAATAATTACTCTGTAACAGACATTGACTAGATTTCTACTTTGAATGAGGATTAAAAATCATTAATACTGTTTCACAGTTGATTTAAAATAAGTAGTTCACTTCAACAGTTAAAAATGATTTGAACTAAACACACTTTTGATTATCAAGATATTGTAAAATAGTAATGATAATAAAAAAGAGAGTGTTCTTTCAATTGATCAGTGCAGGACACTTAGAAAGTCTCTGGATGAACTTAATTTTGTGTTTCTGGACTCAAATCAATGAAATAACAGTTCTTGTCCCAGGAAGGCCCTCAGGGCCAGATTTTGACCTGAGGCTTAGTTCACTACAAAGGTGAACCGCGTTATAGCGAGGGTTCACTGTATAATTAAATCTATTATTACGTGTCACTATTTTATGTAATGTGGATTTGGGTGAAAGTTGGTTTTGACTGTTACCAAAACTGAGCTAAAATCACGTGAGGTAATGAGTCAGAAACAGATGAGTCACCAGGGAAAATGAATCAGCTCACAGAGTTAGGCTGAAACCTTGTTCAGTCAACAGGCCCCACTGAAAGAAATACACCTTTTAATCAACAAAGTCAGTCATTTACTGTGGTTTTCTAACACTATTTTGCTTATCAGCTTTGTTTCTTACTTTTATTTTAAAGAACACAATGAACTCTAGGATCTAAAGTTGTAAACTGTATCGGACTAAAAAGAAAAATGTTTGGACTGGACTCACAACTGCGCATTAAAGTATGGAAAGTTTAAAAGGGCCTGTGGTTTTCGATGCCTTTATTACCTGCTGCCAAAGGTGAAATAGTGGTAATGCTTTTTCTCATGTCTGTGTATGTTTGTTGAATTGCTTTTCATGTTGCTGATACACTTCTTGAAACATTAGACAGCTCTTTGGTGAATTGCTTCCTTATCGTGGTGGAGGAGTTTGTATGTCTGAATGATCCTAGGAGCTATGCTGTCAGGGGTAATCATTCCTGGTAAGGTCTTCCAAGACAGATTGGTCCTATGTGACAGATGAGAAAAAAAGTGACTTTGAATACTTGCATGGACAGAGAAGAAAGAGCTCAGTGTCCCTCACCTGGACATGGGTTACAGGAGCCTCACCCTGCATGGAGCCAGGCAAGTTCCTGGTGACTGGGCTTCTATACCATCTAGCTCGATCAGGCTCAGTCTGAATGATTTACATGGGTTTGCCTTCCACTGGGACCACCACCAGCAGAAGGGGCCATACATGTTGGGTACACAGTGCCATGGATTGTAGCTGAAGGCAGGGGCCTTGGTGCTCTGACCCTGGCTTACTAAAGCTGGCTCTTGTGGCACAAAATGTAAAACTCTCTGGTGGGAAAGAAGCCAAAGCATATGCACAAGGTTGGGAGGTACTGACTTGTCCAGGTCAGCTCAATGCAAGACATGAGCTCTGAAACCAACCTCCTTGAGAGGGGCTGGATCTTAATCCACTCTGGATTTGCTCAAGGTGAGAGGCACTAGGGTGGTCTGAGTCTAGTTATAGCCCCCTGGCTTGGTGCCTGTACATTAAGATTTTTCCCCAGTAGATGAGAGGGTAGCTTCCCTATGCCTTCGGGTGGGGGCATGGGTTTTGTCTGTAGTTGGGGCCTAAGTGCAGAGCAGCAGTTTAGAGTACTCAGCCTTCTTGGAGTTTTTAGTGGAGGTGCTGGAAGGTGCTCCATCTGAGACTCCTTTATTCTGCTGGGGGAATAATGCCTATGTTGGTAGGTAGCAACAGTGTGACCCGGAGGTCCAGTGTGACCTGGAACCCTCTTTAAAAATGGGGAACTAGAGGGTATGTTTCAGTTATAAAGGCATCACCCTTCTAAGCCTCACTGGTAAGGTTTATTCAGGGGTGCTAGTGAAGAGAGTGATTGATGGTCAAATCTTAGACTCAGGCGAAGCAATGTGATTTCTGTCCTGGACGTAGAACACTACAAACTCTTTATCCTCACTGGGGTCCTCAAAGGGGTATGGGTGTTCATCCACTGTGGACTTGGAGAAGGCACGCCACCGTTTTCATCGAGGTACACAGTAGGGGTGCTTCTTAAGTATGGGTTTGGAGATCCACTGCTACAGGTCATTCAGTCTCTATAAAAACAGGGTCAGAGTTTGATTCCTGTTGCTGGCAGTAAGTCAGTCAGACCCATTTGAAGTGGGAGTTACACTCAGTCAGAGCTGACTTTCTGTCACAGACTTTGTTCATAACTTTTATGGAAAGAATTTCTCTATGCAGCCAGGGGAAAGAGGGAGTCTGATTCAGTGGCCTCAGGATTTGGTCATTTATTTGTGGATAGTGTGGTCCTGTTGGCATCATTGTACCATGATCTCCAGATCTCACTGGAGCAGTTTGCAGTTGAGTATGAAGCGACTAGAAGGAGGATCAATACATCCAAATCTGATGGCATGATCCTGAACAAGAAAAGGGTGGATTACACCCATTACACATTACATCCCAGGGAAGACCAAGGACACGGTGCGGAGACTTAGTCTCTCAGCTAGCCAGGGAAAGCTGTGGGGTCCTCCCAGAAGAGCTGGAAGAGGTGGCTGTGGAAAGAGGTGTATGGGCCGCCCTGCTCAAGCTGCTGCCATGAGACCCAACTCGAGAACAAGAGGAAGATAATGGATAGATGGATGTATGGATGGACCACTGGACAGATTTTAATAACACTCTTTGAAATTAGTAATTGGATGTACCTCCATCTAAAACTTATTGATTTTTGGAGCTAATTCAGAACAAGTTATCTGCCACAACTAACTTAAAAAAACACACACAAAAATGACAAAAAGAATTTGACAGACAAGCTAAAATTTATTGTGGTGGTTAGCTGAGAGTCCCGAAAACATAATGCAGGAATGCATCTACAGTTTTACCAGAGTTTATGGTAAAACATGCCTAGCATGCATGTTTTTGGTCAGTGGGAAGAAATCAAAGTATCTGGGGAAAAGAAAAAAAAACTTGTGCATGAGGAGAACATGCAAACTCAACACAGAAAGCTATGCTAAAGGTGGGAGATGAGCCTGTAACATCCCTCTTGTAAGACAAAAAATCTAACAACTGCTCCATGGTACTACCTTTAAGGTAACCAGTTGGTGTATATGAATAGATATAACCTGTCGTTTTTATTGCGCCAAGAAAACAAAAGCAATAATATTTTTGCCTGTACGTGTATGCATGCATGTGCTTATTTGTATGTACCACTGGCAAAAATCTCATGAATCCATCCATCCACCCATTATCTTTTACCCGCTTCTTCCATTTTTGGGTCACTGGGTTGTCGGTGCCCATGTCCAACAATCATTGTGCGAGGAGCGGGGGACACCCTGGACAGGTTGTAAGTCCATCACAGGGCCACATGGAGACAAACAAGCATTCACTCTCTCTCACTCACACCTAGAGACAATTTTAGAGTGGCCAATCAGCCTAACATGCATGGTTTTGGTCTGTGGGAGGAAACCGGAGTACCCGGAGAAAACCCACGCATGCACAGAGAGAACGTGCAAACTCCACCCAGAAATCAGAATCAGTTTATTATTGCCATGTCAATGAACGAGGTTCGCAAACTAGGAATTTGCTTCGACATAAGGTGCAAATAGTAATAAAGTAAAATAAAGTAAAAATGAGAACATTACATAAGACATAAGACCTGTGTACACCCACAAATAAAGTAAAATTAAAAACATAACATAACCATATGTACACCCATACAATAGAAAACAATAAAAAAGCTTAGAAAACAGTACAGATGGAGTATTCAATTATAATACAGATGTAATGTGACCAAAGCAGAAATTATGAGGTAGCATTATGAGTGTTCAGGAGTCCAACAGCAGAGGGGAAGAAACTGTCCTTATGGCGGGAGGTTCTGGTCCGAATGGACCGAAGCCTCCAGCCTGAGGGGAGTGGTTCAAACAGTCCGTGTGCAGGGTGAGCAGGGTCAGCTGTGATCCGACCTGCTCGCCTCACAGTCCTGGAGACGTACAGGTCGTGGAGGGATGGAAGGCTGCAGCCGATCACCTTCTCAGCTGAGCGCACAACGCGCTGCAGTCTGAGTCTGTCCCTGGCAGTGGCCCCGGCGTACCACACCGTGATGGAGGAGCTGAGGATGGACTCGATGATGGCTGTGTAGAACTGCACCATCAGCTTGGCCGGCAGCTTGGCCTTCTTCAGCTGTCGCAGGAAGTACAGTCTCTGCTGGGCCTTCTTGATGAGGGAGCTGATGGTCAGCTCCCACTTGAGGTCCTGGGTGATGGTGGTGCCGAGGAACCGATAAGAATTTGCAGTGGTGATGGGGGTATCATTACAGGTGAGGGGGGGGCAGAGGGGCTGTGGCTTTCCTGAAATCCACAATCATCTCCACTGTCTTCTGGGCATTGAGTTCCAGGTTGTTGCTGCTGCACCAGGTCACCAGCCGGTCTACCTCCCTCCTGTATGCAGACTCATCACCGTCCGAGATGAGCCCGATGAGGGTGGTGTCATCTGCAAACTTAATAAGTTTCACAGAGTCATGGCTGGAGGTGCAGCAGTTGGTGTACAGGGAGAAAAGCAGGGGGGAAAGCACACAGCCCTGTGGAGATCCTGTGCTTATAGTCCGAGTGTCCGAGACAGCTCTCCCCAGCCGCACGCACTGTCAGGAAGTCTGTGATCCACCTGCAGGTGGAGTCAGGTACATGGAGCAGGGAGAGCTTGTCTTGGAGCAGAGCAGGGAGGATGGTGTTAAATGCGGAGCTGAAGTCCACGAACAGGACCCTGGCGTAGGTTCCTGGGGAGTCCAGGTGCTGCAGGATGAAGTGAAGAGCCAGGTTTATTGTGTCATCTACAGACCTGTTGGCCCTGTAGGCAAACTGCAGGGGGTCCAGGAGGGGGTTGGTGATGGACTTGAGGTGAGACGAAACCAAGCATTCAAAGGTTTTCATGACTACAGACGTGAGAGCTACAGGTCTGTAGTCATTTGGTCCTGTGACACGTGGCTTCTTGGGGACAGGGACGATGATGGAGGACTTGAAACAGGCTGGGACGTGGCATGACTCCAGAGAAGAGTTGAAGATCCCTGTGAAGACCGGAGCCAACTCTCCAGCACAATGTCTCAGCGTGGAGGGTGACACAAGGTCTGGGCCTGCAGCCTTATGTGTATTCAGCCTTTTAAAAAGCCTCCTTACTTCATCCTCTTGTACAGAGATAGCAGGGGGTTGTCGGGGGCAGTCCCAAGTGGTTAAACCAGTTGAGCTGGGGTCGGTGTGGAGGATGGAGGAATGTGAGTCCATGACTTCAAAGCATGAATAGAAGTCATTCAGATCGTTTGCCAGTTTGAGATTGTCTGTAGAATGAGGTGCTCTGGGCTTGTAATTAGTTATCTCTTTCAGCCCCCTCCAGACAGAGGCAGAGTTGTTTGCAGAGAACTGTTGTTGCAGCCGTGTGTTGTACCTGGATTTAGCCTTCGACACCTCCCTGCTAAATCCATACTTCGCACGTCTGTAGTTGTCTCTGTCCCCCTCTCTGAAAGCAGCCTCCTTCTGCTGACGAAGCTGTCTTAGTTTGGATGTGAACCAGGGTTTATCATTATTGAAAATGACTCTGGAGCGTGATGGGATGATGCTGACCTCACAGAAATGTATATATGACGTCACAGTGTTTGTGTATTCGTCTAGACTGTCTGTAGAAGCCCTGAACAGGTCCCAGTCTGTGGTGTCCAAACACGTGTGTAGCTCCTCCACAGCTTCACTGGTCCACTTTTTGGATGTCCTCACCACAGGTTTTGAGAGCTTCAGTCTCTGTCTGTATGCAGGTATGAGGCGAATCATCTCATGATCTGAGAGACCCAGGGCAGCACGAGGCACAGCACGATAAGCACCGCTCACTGTGGTGTAACAGTGATCCAGCGTGTTTCCTTCTCTTGTCGGGCATTTAATAAACTGTTTATATTTAGGTAGTTCATGCCTGAGGTTTGCTTTGTTAAAATCTCCAAGGATGATAACAAGGGAGTCCGGAAAAGTTCGCTCTACGCTCGTAATCTGGTCCGCGAGCGCGCGCTCAGCCTCGTGCACGTCCGCGCACGGTGGGATGTAAACAGCGGCCAGAATGAATGAAGTGAACTCACGTGGAGAGTAGAACGGTTTGCAGTTTATGAAGAGATATTCCAGAGAAGGAGAGCAGTGCTGGGAGATCACTGTCACGTCGGAGCACCAGGCGTTGTTGATAAAGAAACAGACTCCTCCGCCTTTCTTCT